AATAATAGAAAAGAAAATAGCATCTCAAATCAGAAAATCAAGCTACTTTAAGGAACAAAAAAGAAAAACAAACAAAAAAAAAGGTCAAGGAGGATTCTAAGAGATTCATACAAGGTCCCTTACAGAAGGGGAAAGGGACAAGATATCCTGAGCATACTGGGAGTGGGGGGGGCAGTGAGTGGAGAGGGAGCTAGGAAAAAGAGAAGGGGAGGAGAAGAAAGCACGCAGGACTAGGAAGATTGAGTCAGGGGAGGAATAGACGAGAAGACAAAAAGAGAGAGGGAGGGAGGGAGGGAATGAGGGAGAGACCATAAAAGAGGGAGCCATTATATGTTTGAAGAGAAAAATGACTCTAGAGAAATGTCCAGAGACCTACAAGACTGACCCCAATTATTGAGCAAGAGTGGAAAGGCTACCATAAATGCCCTTCCCTGATAATGAGACTGATGACTAACTTATCTACCATCATAGAGCCCTTATCAAGTAGCTGATGGAAAAAGAAGCAGACACCCACAACAAAACAGTGAGCAGAAGTGGAATCCAGATGCAGAAAGGGAGGACAAGACCAGGCTACAGCAACCCACAGAGACTGCTGAAGAAAAAGGGGGTGCTAATGGGGCCCCAGACTGATAGCTGGGAATCCAGCATTGGACTGATTCAAACCCCCCTGAACATGGGTCTCAGTTAGAAGGTGTGGGCAGTCTAAGGGACCTCTGACAGTGGAACCAGGATATATCCCTGGTGCACAAAAGGACTTTGGAAGCACATTCCCTATGGATGGATACTTCCTTATCCTAGAGACAGGAGGGAGGGCCTAGTCCCTATGTCAAATGACTTGACAGATTTAGATGACCCCTCCTGGAATGCATGTGGAGTGGGGGTAGGATGGGAGGGGAAGGTGGTCTGGGGGGGCATGGGACAGTGATAGAGATGCAGAGAGAGGGAACTGTGATCAATATGTAAAAGAAGAAAAATGAATAAATAAACACACAGACAAATAAAAAAGTAAGACTTTAAAAAAAAAAAAAAAAAAAGACCACGCAGTATGCACTTAAAAGAAAGAAAACAGCTTTTTTAAAGGGATAGTATTCTGTGAAAATTAAATAGAGAAATAAATAAAACTTTAAGATTTTGATACTAAAAATAGATAAATCAAGCTGGGGAGATGGCCCAGTAACCAGCATTTGTTATACAAGATCAAATGCCTGTGTTCAAACTCTTAGAATTCACATAAAAAGTCAGGGATGGCTGCATATGCACTTGGTGTGTGCCTACAATCCTACTACTGTTAAAAGTGGATATCTGGTAGAGAAAGAAACCTAATAAAACCAATGCTAAAGAAATGTAGGTTGAACTCTTAGACACTTGCTTTGAGTGTGTCATCTATGTATGCTGCTTATGAGGAGTGGACTGGGAATAAGAACATGAAATTGAAGTTTTTGGTTTGAAGTTTTTAAAATTAGAAATGTCTCCCACATGGCCATATATTTGAACACTTGGCTCCCATTTGGTGGCACCATTTAGGGAGGTAGTACAGCCTTGCTGGAGGAGGTGTGTCACTGGGAACAGATTTTGAGTGTCTGTTTTTATTTTATGCTTTGAGTTACAATGTAATAATACTATAGTATTTTATCCCATTTCTCCAAGTGTTCAGCCTTAGCCCACTGGGGGCTCCTTAAAACTAACTACTTTGGCACATCCTTACTTTCTGATACTACAATAAGTGCCAGTCCTAGAATCAATCACTCCTGCAAAGGTTCTGATTTCTTTTCTAGGCTAGGGATGTGTAATCACTCAATATAGAGTGCTTGCCTATTTTGTACAAGACCCTTTATTCAATCTTCAGCTCCTCAAAGAGAAAAAAAGAACATAAAACTAGGTATGAGGTAAGACTTTACAAGTTTGATAAACATATAGACTATTCCTGTGTCCTTTGAAGTTTGGGAACAACTATCTTAGAGTCAAGCTAAATAAGCCTTAAAATGTTTGTTAATAAAAGTTATGAAAGAATTACTATAATTTTCTTCATAATAGCTCAAGATTAAAAAGTTCAGCACATACAGATTCTTTATGTCCCTCAAACCCAGGTAGAGGCTATAGAGATGGCTCAATAGGTATAAGCATTAGCAGAAGTCTGTAGACCAATCTCAATCCTTAGATGCCACCTACATAAAAATTCAAATGTGATGACATACATCTGTTATCCTAGCAGTTCTATTGTGATTGGGGAGGACTGAAAAGGAACATGGCCAGAATCTCCAGGTAACATGAAGCATAGTGACAGAAAAAAAAACATCTTAAATTTGAATGAAATATATTTATTGAAGGTTTTGTCTGTACTAGGCATGATAGTGTATAAACTCATACCTAAAGCATGTTTGCATAATATCTATAAAGGTGAAATATTTATTTGAAAGCAATACAGTCAGTAGGTGGCAGACTTGAGACACCAAATCTGATCTGAATTTTTTTTTTCCTAAGGTTAGATAATAACATGCAGAAATAGGGCTGTCATAGGGACAACCATCTTGGGAAGAAGGCAAATAAACTAATAAATATAACACATGAAAGGCAGATGGTAATAGACACTGGGGGAGAAATATTTCCTTATTGAGAATATGAAACTGTACAGTTATCTGAGTGCAATTATCAAGCTTAGATATACACATATGGAAGAGAAAAGAACAAGTGTCAATGCCCCAATGCCAGGGCACATGCTCTGTAAAGAAGTAGAAAGACACAACATATCAATGAGGGATAGATAGTATGGTAGGAGATGTGGTGAAGATTTGTTCTGTAGGGAAGTGATATTGAAGGTTGGAAACAATTGTCCATTATAGGTGACTCTGAATTATTTGGCTTTACTGAGGAAAATATGAAGCCACTGAAGAAAAGGTAAGAACATTGCTTTGTTTTGTTTTTGACACTGGCTCTTACTAATATAGACCAGACTATACTGGAATTCACAACATAGCATAGTTGTACATTCACAATCTTCTCCATTTCCTGAGTACTGCTTCTAAAGGTATGATCCACCATTAATAGTGAAGAAAATTTAAAATGTTAATCTAGCCTGTTATTTTTAAAAATATGTAGATGTCAGAGATGGTTAAGTGAATAAAAGTACTTGCCACTAAGCTTGATGACCTGAGTTTGAGCCCTAGAACTCATGTGATGGGGAAAGAGTACTGAATAATTCAACTGTCCTCTGACCTTCTGGCATGTGGACCCCCCTCTTCCTACAAAACACATAAATAAAAAGGAAACAAATTTGAGTGGGCTTGGAAAGGAAGGTGGATCTTGGAAAAGGTTGGGAAGGTAGGGAATGACTACATTGTACAAAATTCTCAAAGAACTAATGAATAAATAAATTTAAAATTTTTAGTTATGTGGAAAAGACAAAAATACACTTGAGATGGTAGCAGATATATATTAATCACACATTCTGTTGTTATGGCAAATACTCAAGAGAAATGGTTTAAAGAAAGGAGATTAACAGGAACATGTGTTGGAAGTTATTCACTTTATGGTGGTCAGGTAGCTGAGTGAGAGTGTAGGAAACCGGAAGAGAATAGCCTGCAAAGCCACACTGCAGTGGTCTATTTCTTTTACCTGAGACCCCAACTTTCAAAGTTTCCAAGAGGTTGAAACTAAACATTCAACACATGAGCCTGTGGATCACTTAGTATTCAAACTATAACAAATGGTTTTGTTGTAAAGAGGCAACAAGTACATGGGTGAAGTTACTACTTACCATGGCAAGAGCAGATTATTTGGGAAGGAGTGCAAACTGAAAAAAATCCCAATAAAAATACTGATAAAATATTTTTCTTATGCTAAATAATTTAATACTAAAATTTACATGAAAAAGCAGGCTATTGTCTCTTGGGTACATAAGAAGAGTTCATAAAATACTGTAGAATACCATATCAATGTAGATCTACTTCTAATTTATATTACAATATACAATATATCTTCTGAAAGAGAAAGATAAACTAGAATATAAAATCCAGAAATAGATGAAGTACATAAAGAAACCAGGATAAAGAAATATAACTAAAGGAAATGCATAACTAAGGATAACTAAAAATGACTATGGTAAAGAGGGGCTGTTTGGACCAACTGGACAGCCATTAAAAACTCATACTCATAATTCATTGTGTATATGACAATAACTACGAGTAAAATTAGTAAAGCTGATGAAGACTATAATTTTCTAATTTATAAACAGATTTTGCTTTTGCTCTGGGCATTAGAATCTAGCTATTTCATCTAATCTCTAGAACTTCCTTTACCAAACAAAAGATCAAACCCTCCTTCTTTAAAACATGTATATACTCACTATTCCTGTTGCTTATTTGATGTCCCTATAGCACATCTTATTCCACTTATTTAGCATATAGTATTATTCACTTGGTGCACAGGCATGGATCTTTACACAATAGCTGCTTCTTTAGAACATATCTGCCTTACTTTTGCTTTCACAGCCCTGCTCTCTGAATCGCCTACAAATCAGAGTAAAGTGAAGTAAAGGAGTCTTATAAAATGTGGAAAAGGATTCTAAAAGTAGAGAGAACTAAAAAAAAATTTCTCTGGTACAATAGTTGGACGCAGAAGTCTCAAGTATACAAGGGAAACATCTTACCCCAGCCCAGGAGAAATAAAATATCAAAACACTAACACACTAGGCATAGAAAGGAATAGACACCATCTACTTTCTGGATGAAAGTCTTGTGTGAGGTGGATGCCTAGCCACTATAATAACAGATAGCTAAGCAGAGCAATGTGGGAACATGGCAGTCAATGAAAGACCAATTCAGATGGAAGTAAATCTAGTTCTCTCCTATACAGAACACTATTCATTAGATGTTACATGGAGATTTCTTCAGTAAATTAACATTTTGTTGAAATCAGTACCTGTACTTTAGGGATGTGGAATTCAAAATACACCAAAAGTTAAGCACCTCTGTGAACATGTTTTAAGTTGCCAGTATACTTACAGTTTTTTCGTGATTTTCAAAAGCCTCTCTTGCTTCTTCATATGTGCAGACTTCTTCTTTGCACTCACGCTCAATGTTGCCCTGTCTTATTTCTTCAAAAAGCCCATTGGCTCTTGGGTAGCGTTTTAATACTGAGTTGGCTTTTTCTCCTGTGAGGAAAACTAAAAAGAGATATAATAATAAGTATAAAAAAGCAATAAGGAACTCATGTGGGAAGTGAATATACAAGATGAAAACTGCCAGATGCTCCTGAGAAAACAAAGAAAGCATACTAAACATCTTTCAGTAAACCAGGATTGAAATAATGTTTAACTTCCAACTGAAGCATTTGATAGCTTCCTCATAATGGGAATATGTGCTTTTAGTCACTGTGGCTCTGGGCAGGAACAGTAACATAATTAACCATGTTATATTCAGACTTTAGCACATTCCTGAGTACTGGAGATGTTTAAAAATAGTAATGATGATAGCACTACTTATATTCATTTCTGTAAGTGGATACCACAAGGTATTCTGCAACCAAACCAAAAGCCAGTCTCTGCCTGCCTAAAAATAAATACAAACCCAATTGACCTAATAATATAAACTTAGAGAACCATTACTTAAAGAAACAACTTAACATGGTGAAAGTCTCATTACAGATCTTTCAAGCTTGTAAAAGAAAAACAATATATTCTAAAAAAAAACTTTCTGAAATCAGTGAAATATAAAATATAATTTTATCTACACTTAAGTTGAAAAAAACATTATTAATAATTTCATTCTAAATACAGTGTAGCTGTATTCCAAGACATTCAATCTCACTTCATCATCCTTAAATAAAAGAAATTTTTTCCCTGAATTATAAACGCATACCTTAGAAACATTCAAAGTGCACTTGTGAAACCCAGTGGAACAGATGAGTAACAGCAAATGCAACACTACTCTGAGCTACACAGTAAGGGCTGATCTTGAAAGACAAATGAGAAGTTCTTTGGAAATACAAGTCAATGGTGTGTCTTTAGCCCTGGATTCAATCCCCAGCACTGCAACAAATGAACTAATGAATGAATGAATGAAAAAAGGCAAATACATATTAGGCCATTGCTATGTTTACACTTATGGGGTACATTTACTTTTATGTACAAGAACATTTAAGTTCTACTTTATGTTTTTCTAAGAATCTCATTTGACTGGTATATAAATACAATGCCACCATAATTTCTGTTAATGTAATTAGAAACTTTCCATTTTACAATCTTCTAACATTGCAAAAAGAGTATTACAGGAGTTGGAAATATGGTTCTGGGGGTAAGAGAATTTGATGCTCTTGTAGAGCTCAAGTCCAGTTTCCAGCACCCACATAATGGCCCACAACTATCTGTAAGTTAAAAGTTAAATCCCAGGGACTCTAACCTCCAATCCCTTCTTCTGTTCTCTTTGAACAAGTGCGCGTGCGCGCGCACGCGTACACACACACACACACACACACACACACACACAAACACACACACACATCCTTTGTTCAGTAATATTAAATTTTATTTTCTTTTTCACTATGTTTTCATGATCTGGTTTATATTTTAATTGACACAACTTGATCTCTATTTGAATTTCATAAAAGGCAATCTTCAAAGTTCAGTCACATAAGCCAGAGTGAATAACTTTCCTTCTTCATCTGTTTGTTATGTAACTGGATATGATGAATATAGTACTCAGTCAGAGTGAGAATTTGATCAGAATTTTTAGCATCCTTATTTCTAAACACAACACATATAGCAATTCATTTTAAAATATCACCAAATTTTAGACCAGTTTTCCTGAGCATAAATCAAATAATTTACAATTAAGTGATTTTTGAACTTTCAACAGGAAAAAAGCAAAATACCATAAAGAGGGAAATTATCTTCTCATATGCAAGCTAAATGGAAAATGAGTGTTAAGGAAATTAGCTAACTCCTAAAAGTAGAAAGCAAGCTAACTGAAAGATGATATATCAGAACACAAACTTCTAATCCCAGACTAATCAAATTACCAGGAGCATTCCATATAAACATCTCTTATGTATTTCTTCTACCAAGAAGCAAGGTAACATAATACTAAGAATGCTACATGTTGTCAAGTAAGTTTTATTTCCTTGACACATCTACTTGATTAGAAGATACTATGTGAAGTAAAAATTTAACTAATGGTAAAAAATAAAATAGTATTATACATAGGTTTTATCTGCCATATATCAGGGAACAAGAAATGAGAAAAGAACATTCGATAGTATTTAAAAAATGTTTTGGAAATTAAATGGACTCTGCATAATGATAAAAGAATTAGGGGACTTATGAGACAGGTTATCTGGTACTTGCCTGCAAGCCTATCAACCTGATTCTTATTCCTGGAATCCACAGCGGAAGGTGAAAACTTAAACATCCATACTCCATAGACCATGTGTGCACACATGTATGAACATGTACACATACACATATATACACATGTAAAATAAGAATTTTAATTGTTTTTGTAAGAGAGTAGAATATGGAAGCTATGACTTATAGGATGAAGTCATATTATCTTTTTTATCATGCTTTTCTTACTGAAAATAATTTTTCATATAATACAGCTTTCCCTCCCACAATGACTCCCAGATCCTCCCTAGACACCCAATTCCATGTTTTCTTTCTTTCTCTTTAGACAGCAAATAGGCAAACAAACAAACAACAACAACCAAAAAAAAAAAAAAAAAAAAAAAAAGAAGAAGAAGAAAAAAAGAAGCCCAAGAAACACATCCACACCAGAAAGAAAAATCATAAAAACACAAAATTGAAAATCATAATATAACAGCAAAAGACCAATTAGAAAATAAATGTTCAAACAAAGCAATGAGATAAAAAGTCTTCGAAATACATTGAGTTTATTTGTGTTGGCCATCCACTGTTCAATGTGGAGCCTATTCATAAGAGTCATTAATATGCCCAGTGATAGATACTCCATTACAGAAAACTAATTTTTCCTTTGCAAAGAAATGCAGAATACAGATATCTTCTTTGTTAGGGATGTCAACTTCCCCTCTCAATGCAGGGACTCTGTTTGGCTTGAACCTCTGCAGGCCAAACACTGGACAATATCCAGACTGAAAGGCTTGCTTTGAGATATTTCGTGACTGTATGAATGTGCATTAGTAATTTAAAATTCAATCCTAGAAGCTAAATGTATAGCATAATGCTAATGGTTAGCAAATGTAAGGCTGTGTGGTCAATCTTCAGTTTAAAAATAAGTCAAGATTACCTACACCACTCCACCCCTAGGCCCTGCCCCCAAATTTGGCAAACTTCTACTGCTCAGGCATAGGCCACATCAGTCAGAAAAAGAGATAAGTGATCCATCCGGCAGCTGAATTGGTCCTATCCATAGAGTTTGTTCCCCATGACCCATTCCACCATCTACCCCTCTAACCTCTTTGCTAGTCCCAAGGCCAGGCCCTGCCTCCAAAGTAATCCCGCTGCTCAGATAGAGACCACACTAGTCAGAAGACGAGATATGTCATGTTGCCCAAAAGGCCAAGCTAACCTCCAGAAGGCCAGCTCCCAATTTGGACAGAGACTCAATACTAGATTGTGGGGACATCAGGCTTGGGGATGGTACTCAGGCTGCGCCCAAGCCAAGCCTAAAGGTACAACCCAAGCCTGCCCCAAGTTTGGAGATCTGTTTCAGCAGGGTGCAAAAGAAAGTAACCTCTGCCTGGTAACTGGTGATTAAAAACAATGCTATAGGCCCTTACTAGTCTCTTTACCCACTATCATCAAACTTCTGCTGAAGCCCTGCCCCTACCCTGAAGCCTACTTAAACATCTGCTCAGATCAATAAAATGAATTCCTGCCAAGACCAGGCTCCCTGTCTCATCTGATTGTCCTGCAGTGAGCAGGGGCTGGGGAACAGGTGGACAGTGCACTCACATTTCCTCTGTCCTCTTCTCTGAGGGAGTAAGTGCAGAGTAGTGACACACTACCCCCCACCATCACACTAGGTCAGAGATCACATCAGCCTCCAGAAATCCAGGCAACAAAGACTAGAAGGCCAAATAGGAAACAGAAACCAAAAATCAAAACACCAAACAAAAAAATACAAACTCAGAAATTAGGATCTAGACCTAATCATCCCAATCCCAAATTGCCTAAATGCCAGTGTAAGAACACAATACACAACAGCCACAGTAATGTGGTACCACCAGAGCCCAGCTAGCCTAGAACAGTAAGACATGAATACTTCAGTGCAGATGAAGCACAAGAAAATGACCTAAAAGAAACTTTATGTAGATGATAGAGGCCCTTAAAGAGGAAATGAAAAGCTGTCTTAAGTAAATCAGAAAAGATAAGTAAAAAATTGGAACAAAGCAATAAATCATTTAAAGAATGCCAAGAAAGCCAAGAAGAAACAAACAGGTGAAAGAAACTATTCAAGACCCGAAAAAAATAAATAGAAACAATAAAGAGAGCATAACCTTAGGGAAATTTGGAAATGGAAAATATGGATAAGCAAACAGATGCAAGTATCACCAATAGACTACAAGAAGAGACAGAAGAGAGGATCTCAGGTGTTAGATATAATAGTGAAATAGGTTCGTCAGTCAGAGAAAACATTGCATCATCAACATAACCATCATCATCAACAACAACAACAACAGCTCCTAACGCAAAACATCCAGGAAATATGGCTCACTATGTAAAGACCAAACCTAAGAATTGGAATAGAAGGAGAAGAATCCCTGATGAAAAACCAAGAAAACATATTTAAGAAAATAGTAGAAGAAAATGTCCCTAACCTAAAGAAGGAGATGCCTAAAAATGTACAAGAAGTTTACAGAACACCAAACAGATTGGATCATAAAAGAAAATCACTGTGTCACATAATAATCAAAACACTAAATACACAGAACAAAGAAAAAATATTAAAAGCTACAGGGGAATAAGGACAAGTAACATATAAAAATGCAGGCCTCTTAGAATTACAACCAACTCTAAAATCCAGAAGGGCTTGAACTAATGTATTGCAGACTCTAAGAGACCACAGAGCCAACCCAGACTACTATACTCAGCAAAACTGTAAATTATCATAGATGGAGAAAACAAGATATTTCATGATGAAGTAAAACTTAAACAAATATATCTACAATTCCAGCAATACAGAAAGTCCTAGATTGATAAAAAGCCCCTGCATCTTATCAAACCATCATGCATTAAAGTTGGCTTTCAGTGCAAACAAAAACAACAGAAAATCTA